CCCCCCCCCTTCGCGGGGCCGAACCCCCCCCCCCGCCAAGCTCGGTTTCCGAAAAACATTTTTTGGAGGGGGGGGGTTTGGAAACCACTCCGGCTACCTCTGCTCCAAAGATTAAGAGCTTGGGTTTAATTGGGTTGTTTTGATTTATTATTACTGTAAGGATCAGCGTTGAACCCTCGGCACGCGCCGCCTGCGCTCCTGACTGCTCTCGAGACATTTCCAGCGCGTCAGAGAAATCCAACGGGTCAGACTGGCCTTCTTCTGCACGGACATCTCCTCTAAGTCCAACTCCACACTTACTCAGTTGCCATCATCTCAAAGTGCGGTATCATAACAGCTTAAAAAAGGAACAAATATTAAGAAATTGTACCTATTTTTTTTTTTTCCTTTTAAAGTTATAACTAGAATACGCTGGAATATTTTGGCTTTTTTTTTTTTTTTCTTATAAATAATGAAGACACTGACAATTTTCTTTGTGGGGGGGTGTGTGCTTGTGAAGCTAATCGATCATCTCCACGAGACAGCCAGCGACGATGAACTGCAATACGTTATTACTGAAAGGGGAAGGTTCAAGCCAATATTCACACTGCAGTCAATGGAGAGTAGAGGGAGGGGAAGCAGTGATGTTCTGAGGAAGGCAGGAGCCACGCGGTATTAGCAGGAACAGCCTCCTTCACTGACAGGCTGCTCTTGAGGCTTTTCCAGTTTAATGTCAATCACTGGAAGAAAGAAGTTAAGGCAAACGCACAGCCAGGTGCGGGTGGGACGGGATTTTGACCGGCATGTTCCGTTCGGTGCTTCCCACCGAAATAACCAAAAGGTATTTTCAAAAGCTCTCGAACAGGCCAGCTTCAAACCAAAGCCAAGATACTCAGCAGCCCCTCCTGCCTCGGCGCTGGCACGTTCCTAAAAACGTAGCAGAAAATGTCCGATCCCAAATGTCTGTCCCTAACCAGCCCACTCTTCCCCCATGATCACAGAATCCCAGAATCCCAGCACGGCAGAGGTTGAAGGGCCCTCTGGGGATCCCCCAGCCCAACCCCCTGCCGAAGCAGGGTCACCCAGAGCAGGCTGCACAGCACCGCGGCCAGGCGGGGCTGGAAT